AAGTACTAGTTCTACTTGTTTGTAAAAAGCACAATAATTAACAGTAAAAACACTGATGTAACACATTATGGTTTTAAAAGCACTTTTCCTTATTTACACAATGAAGTAATCAAGCCATATAAAATAGGTAGTTTGCCATTAGGAAGAACTCACCCAGCCTGCACTGTTGTCTTGCTACTTTCCACCAAAAGCAAGGGGATAGGTTGGAAGCTCCTTTCTTAGACCTTGACCGTGGTCAGCTGTCTGACCTCATCTTTTAGCACTGGCTTTACTCTTGCTGTTAGCGGCACCTAAATGTTAAAGAGCTGAGCTGGGCTGAGTGCAACAGTGCACACCTGTAATCACTGCTGCAAAGCCTAAGGCGAGACTAAGTTCAATGCCAGTCTGGGCAACCAAGAGAGCTCCTTTCTAAAAATAAAATGGCTCCTGGAACCTAGGGAGTATCCAGTCTCTCTCCCCTGCCCTCTCTCTCTCACACACACATACATTTTGTCGAAGAACTGCTTTTTCTATGAGCAAAATCATTATCAAATGAGGAGCTAATGCATTTAAGAGTAATTTTCAAGATAGGTGTTTCAGAATACAGTCTCAGTATCAAGAGGCTTTTAGGGAATCCAATGAAGCTAATATTTTAGTAAAACTTTTACAAGATGTTATGATCACGTTGTAAATGTCAAACATAATTATCTTTCAAGTATTTTTTTTTTGCGGGGGAAAGATGCTACATATACCTGCACCTTTTGATTATGAATTTTAAACACAAATCTTATTCCTCATAATCTGTCACTCTGTGCTATCAGATCCCAATCAGACATTCCCAGCACACATAACAGTTGCTGTGAACACTATCAGGCAGGTCTTTCAGGTCCTTGACTGTACACTGCGGTTCACTTACCTGCGAGGAAAGAATCTCACACTTCAGAGGGTGGGAATGTGAGCACTGCTGAAGAGTTCTAATTTCTACTGTAAAAATTAGCATATAATCTTAAAACTTTTTGACTAATATCCAAACCCTTTACCACATTTTATAATGGTTTAAGTATAATTTATTTTGTATATTTATCTACTTTTTTAATGTCTACTTCGTTTCCTAGCACAAGAACATACACATATATCTATACAACTCATACCTACCTATGCTGGGGTACAGTAGTTTAAGAGGCTGATTCTCAGTCCTGACAAACCAGGAAGTGAATTCTCCCTTCTTTCATTGATTTGCTTTTGAAGCTGAGTTAGCTGTTTGAGTGTTCTATTTGCCTCAAGAAAAAGTCACTGATATTTACTTCTTGCCACCCCTCAACCCCAACTGCAGGTCTGGTTTTTTGTGGCTTCCAAGTATCTCACTAAGTGACAAAGACAATCCACCAATGATGACTCTGCTTCAGTACAAGGACAGGCTGCCAAAGAAGTGAGAAAAAGATTCAAGTAGTCTCTCTCATCCCTAAGCAGTTAAACATTGACTAAAAATATATTAGAAGTTTGAAAAGAACTGTGACAGATGAAGTGAGTTCAATAGTTTCTGCATAAGATTTGGAATTTTAAAAAACTACAACAATGATTACAACAGACATTTATTTAAGGTAGTATGTCTGCAGACTAAATAATTCTTAAACTGTGTATTTCAGGGTTAACCAAGTTCATAAAAATATCCTGAAGACAGTGGCATCCACAGACTTCAACTACGTGATTACTTCTTTGCCCATTCTTCTCTTTCTTTTCTTTCCCGAATAACCTCTTTGAGATATGGCTCAAGGTAGAATTTATCCT